CGGCGATGAGGAGGCGAAGGGCGACGACCCAGGCGGCGATGAGGAGGCGAAGGGCGACGACCCAGGCGGCGATGAGGAGGCGAAGGGTGACGACCCAGGCGGCGATGAGGAGGCGAAGGGAGACGACCCAGGCGATGAGGAGGCGAAGGGCGACGACCCAGGCGATGAGGAGGCGATGGTGGTCAACTCTCGAACCACCAGGACCGCCGAGACCTCAGACTCACAAACCTCCAGGACCTCCAACTCCGGGACTACTGGGACCACCAGCTGTGGAACCACCGACTCAGGAATCTCCGGGACCTCCAACTCCGGGACCACTGGGACCACCAGCTGTGGAACCACCGACTCAGGAATCTCCGGAACCACCGACTCAGGAACAAGAGGGGTGGGAGGGTGGGCACCAATGCCCTCAGCCTGGACCCTTGCCGAAGACCCCGAGCGGAAGGTGAACGGCTGGACCCCAGACGACCCAAAACGGAAGGTGGTAGGCTCCACCATTCCCCAGTGGAAGGTGGAGGGGGCAGCCCAGAAAAAGAAAAATTGCCTGCAGGCTGGGTTTTTTGTGGTCCGTCCATTCTGTGAGGTGCAGGCAGGATAAACCCAGGGCGCAGGCAAAAATCCAAAGTTTAACAAAAGATTTATTAATAAAATAAAAAGGCTGGCAGGGCAGCTCAAAAACTCTCAGGAGAACAGGAACACAGAGAACACCAAACTGGCTGTGTAAACAGCACAATGAACGGACACAGACTGAGGACAGGACACCAAATATAAAGGCAAACAAAGTAAGAGACAAATCGGAAACACCTGGGGAGACACAAGAGGGATCAGGTGTGCATGGGTGGGGCTGTAAGGCAGAGCAAAGCAGGGGAACATTGAAAACACTAGAAAGTTAAAGAAAATAAGCACAGACCATGACACTGTGTATTTGTAACAAAGTAAAAACATCGGTATTGGTTCCATCCTGTTTTTGTTTTGTTTTTTTCGTTTTGCTTTGCTTTTGCGGGTTTCTTCAATAATGTTACAGAATTGTTTTGAACAGGTTTTTGCTTGAGAGAAAAGCTCATCAACACCCGAGTAACGGTTTTGGACAAAATGTCAAAACTCATTTGTGTGATTTCTTGCAGATGCTTGTGTAAATCTCTTGTGTAACAAGTGGTACAAGATGGAAGGTGCTGTACCGTAGTCTGTATTTATGCTTACACGGCTGTGTGTGCACTACTTTCATATTTGTGTGTCTGACATTTAGCTGATGCTGTAATCCAGAGGAACCAGCAAAACCACTTTATAAATGAAACAAAGTTGCTGCAGGGAAAATCCTCAACTCTGACAAGTCAGCAGTGCATTCATCCCTTACACCACAAACACACAAACACAATGGGGACAAGCCAACTGTGTGTTCATGCCCTAACACCCCTCAGCAACACACACTCACACTCACAGAGCCGCTGAGAAGTCACATCCAACTGAACGTTGTCTACYTCTTCTCTTTATCTTTCTCGCACACATTTGTGCAAGAGCACGCAAACTTCACTCCCAGGCACACCGAGGGAACTACTTCTATCCTCTAAACCGCTCTGTCTTTTTATTTTTGTCTCACCTGCTCATACATTATCCGCAGATAAACATAGACACACATTTTCTCCTCTCAGCCAAGACAGACAAGGTTTTGAGAAGGAACAAATGTGTGTAAAATCTGAGGCCCCGATCCATCAATCCATCTCCTGCTCCATTCTACCATCACTCATGGACAACCCGTCCAGATACCTCAGCTCCTCGGCTTGAGGCAGAGACAGAGGGAGCATTCCACCTTTTACCAGTAAGGAGACATGGCTGCAGGTCACCTCTCCTGTCTCTGCAGGACATCTACATGGAGCTGTTGGACCAGAGCCACTGGGATTGTTAAAAACTCATCCTAGCTCAACAACAGACCTGATACATTTTTTGTTTTTTTGTTTTTTGTGGTTGTTTCACATTGAGTACAGAAACGTTGCTGATTATGTTGCTGGTGGTAGAGACTTCACTGATTTTAATATTTATGATCCTATCTCACTACAACAGTAAACAGGGAATTTATACAGGAMAAACAGGAGTTCCCAAGCCTCCTTCTGGAAGGTGTCTTCATTTGTTAAAGGTAATCTTAAACCAATAAATCTGCTTCAATATCAAATCAAGCATCATATTTAATAAACGTATTTTTAAGAAAAAGTACAAGTCAGTGTAAATTATCTACATTTTACCCAGTATGGCTAATTATGCCTTTTTTGCATATAGACTGACCTGCAGAACTCACACAGCCATTATTTTAAACAACCATTATTAAGGAAACAACTGGGTTACAGAAAAAACACTGGCTTTATTGATAGATTTAGTAGATGATGACATTCAGCCCCACATCCCAGTCTCTCTCTAAAATCACAGCAAAGCATAAAGCATAAACCAGATATTATAGCTTTGCTTATGTAAGAAGGGAAACAGTTTGTTCATCCTTTTATGTTGATAATTACAGTCGTCAAAGTACACAAAGTCAAGTGTGCTTTTAGTTTTTTGCTAAAGGTTTTAATGTGTTTGAGCCTCACRTACAAACAGCTTGTTGCTTTTGTGATAAGCGTTGTCAGCGTCAATGCCAGGGCACTGAGAAAAGTTTCTCTGTTAATAAGAGCAACTCTGTGATCATTAACATGGAGCTGCTGTTCCATGTGTCTGAGAGCTGCTCCAGTTTGCACCCAGTCTCTGAAAATGTGAAATTCTCCACTATCAAAAGCAGAGTTGATARCATTGGAGCTTGTCGATATTGGTCTTTAATAATTTAGAGCCTGGATCTGCTCTGGGTTCGTATGTATTTCTACCTGCTCTACAACTGTCTGAAGGTACAGTATGTGAAGGTAGTTTCTAACGTTTTTCTTTCCCAAAGTAACATTTCATATCCAGTCATTTAGAAGGACTCTGAAAGATAATTAGTCAGGGCTGACGACAACATCCCTGCAAACCTTAGGCTAGTGTGGATGTTAGGGTTAGGGTTGACACAGAGGCATATTTTCATATGGTTCACTCTTGCTTTACAGTTTACGTTAGTACAGCAATGTGCTTGTTTGTTGCTTTGGGTTGAGGTAATATTTAACTGGATTGCAACCATTGGAGACTAGTTAGCAACTCAAAATGTTGAGGAAAATAAGGACATTTTCTGCTGCAGTCTCAGAAATCGGAGTGTTTGCGACCAGTGAGAAGAACATTTTGTGTTGCCAATTGTTGAAAATCATGGCTCATTTTCATTGGCATGGCTTGTAAAACTGTATTCTCCATCATGCACATTCTTTATTGCCCATACCCACCTCAGCCTTATGTGTACCAACCTTAGCAGCTACCCTCACTTTTAATCTACAGGAATACACTTGAAATGAAGATAAGATTATTTGAAATCTTTTTTTCTTTCATTTTTGTTGTTGTTTTTTAAGTAGGGTTGATCATTTTTATAACAGTAAAATCTTTAGAAAATACGGTGGTATACGGTATTATGGGTAGACTGTGGCATTGTTGAGTAATTAGTAATTACTAAAGAGTGGACATGTACATGCAAATAGTTTGACATTGTACAGCCAGAGGGAAGTGTGTGTGTGTGTGTGTGTGGGGGGGGGGGGTATATAAAAGAAAAAAAACTCAAGAAAGGAGTCACAGAATGGCTTTGCCTCTTATTACATCAAACAGATAAAATAGGGTCAAGTACATCTATTTAGGGCTTTAGGTTTTAAAATAATCTGACTCCTACCACAGTTGTTTCCACACTTAAAGGCACAGTGTGTAGGATTTGTTGTTTTCAGCGACATCTAGTGGTTGAGTGGTTGAATCATCCTCCCTGGTCCTCCCCCCACCCCCACCCCCTGCTTCCAAATGCAAAGAGGTTGCTACG